AAAAGCGCAGGCTGGGGGTGAGCGGAGCCTGGGCTGCACTGCTCTGGGGGGTTTCTCGGGGGTCGGGTGGACCTCCTGTTGTGAGGATCCTGGGAAGGGACTGTCGGGGTAGAGGAGACGTTCACGGAGCCATTGTAGGGGACAGGCGGGATTTGGGGCGACCTGAGACAACTTTTGCCGAGAACTCTGGGATACCCCAGGAGAGAAGGATCGGGGTCTTGGGGATATAGTTGCTTTGTCGCTGTAGGCAGAGGAAGGAGAAGGTCCACGGCTGGGTGGCGTGGGGCGCGGGAGTCAGAGACGACACCCCCGCCCCCCAAATATCTGGTTGGTTCCACTTTGTTTCAAGAGTGGGGCTCACGAGTTTGAACCGCCCAAGAACCTCAGATTCTGATTTGGACTTGGATTTCCCCAAAAGTTTATGGTATGGCGGTCTCCGCACCCCTCAAGAGGCTGGAGGTGATGGGGAATGTTTGAGCCCCTTTCACGCGTGCCCCGCGCGGCGGAGGCGCAAGGTTGGCTGGTAGGTTTAATAACAGCCCCAGCAGTCATCATTTATTAAAGAGCCCAGGACCTGGCTGACTCCCGCCACCGCCAGGAAATTAAAAGGCTGACAGGCTGTCCCCTTCCTGCGCTGAGGTTTCCCGTTTGAAAGAGTTTGGGAAGTCGAACTTACTTCCCGCGCCTCCCCCATCTACCTTTCGCAACTAAAGAGAGAGCTGCTCCCGCAGCCTTGCAAGTCGGTAGACTTGCCCGGGGCTGGATATCCTCCGGGCTGGCCCTGCCCTCATCCCTAGAAGTCTCTCCTCTGCAGCTCCGAGGTAGCTCTCAAGAGTTCTAGAGTGCATAGCGAGTCACCCCCAGACACCGCTGGGAGTGGAGCAAGGAGAAGAGGGAGAAAAATGTGGAGTCCGTTTAGTGTAAATATTTGTCAGCTACATTTCCCTTCATTGTACGAGTGGGTATTTTCAAGTATTGGACTTGTAACTTTGAGCTTCCCACTTTGGCTTTCTTTAGGCGTTTGACATATGTCTCTGAGATGCAGACATTATCCAAATTCAGCTGAAGTTCACAGTTTCGGAGGGTTAACCTTTTGCCCCTAAAGCACTTGAATTCTTAGTTCCTGGTACGATAGCAACAGAGTAGTTGAATTTAGGATAAATAAACCTTTAGAGTCACCCACTATTTTAACAGAATGGCTATCTCCCTGATACCCTTGCCCTCCATTGTGTAAATATTTGTTTGAATAAAGAGCGAAGGTTCTTTGAAAAGTGTCTGTTCATGATTCTCTTTTAATATCTTGGTCTGTTACTTAAAAGGCTTTGGGTTGATTGTGTGTTGTTGTTGTTGTTTGCCTTACATATTTAATGTGGGAATTAAAACATGTACTTAAACTGTAAAGTCCCCAAAACGTTTATAACTGGCGTTTCCTTTAAAAGCAAGGGGGCGTTGAGTTTTTGCTCTTAGTTTACCAGCTTAGCCTTTACCTCCTGAGACCCAGAGGTTTGCAAATCCCAGCCTTTCTCACAAATGGAAAAATGAGATGTTTGGTTAAGAGTAGCCATCATTTCAGTCAGTTTGCAGGCTTCAATCAGTTTCATGCAGCTGGCAGCTGCTGCTCTTTAGCTTGTCTCTTGATCCCTGTTTGAAGGGGGGGGGGGGGGGGGGCGAGGTGGGAGATACTCCTGCAAAGTGGGCTAAGAGCTTGCTAACTCCTATCATAAAGAACCCAAACCAAAGCTGGAACTCTTCAGCAATCTTTTCAGAAACATTTTATTTGCGGGCTTTTGCGCAAGAGAGAGAAGAAGAAAAAAAGCCAAGTAATTAAACCAACCACTGGTTCTCGATATTTTCTTCAAAGCCCTATTTTGAGGTCTGTAAGCAAGGGCTGATTCTGGAGTGCACTGGTAAATTAGTGTGAAAATTGTGATTCCTTTTAAATACTTTTAAAGAGCAGTTGTGATTATGACTTTGTATGTTAATTCTTAATCCTTTGCAGAGAGGCTGTGCTTGGGAAGTCTGTGGTTTAGTACTAGTACATCTTCCAAGAGCAATGCAAGGTCTTTATAAATAGGATGATTATCTGTTAGGTCTTGGTATAATTAACTGTGTAAATGTCACCCATTTGAAACAAACAAAAAAGCATGTTAAGTGATGTGCTTTGTTTTAAAGCCCTGGTATACATTATAGGAGTGGTTCTCAGTGGGGAGAGGGAGGGATTTTGCCTCCCCTCCCTCACCCTCCCCAGGAGGTCTTGGCTAATGTGTGGTGACATTTTTTGTTCTCCCAGCTGGGAGCAGGGAACAACCCCACCTGACCACTGGGGCTGGTGTCTAGTGGGACAAGGCCTCAGATGCTGTGTAATATCCTGCAATGCACAGGAAACACAATGAATTATCCAGCCCCCAACTCTTCACTGCAATATTGCCTCCTGAGCATTTGTTAACAAGTTTGGGGATCTTAATCTCATTTGGATCCTCAAGAAGCCAATTGTGTTCTTGCTCAACAAAGAGACCATGTCATAGAAACCATATTGTCTGCAGCAGGTTGGTTCTTTTGCCCTTGTCATTAAAGGGCTTAATATACCATAGATTGGAGGAACTTCTTGTGTTCACTGAGGACTTAAAATCACAGAATTTGGGAGTGTTAGCATGTAAGGTCATTGATAGGTGTAAGAGTTGCTCAGAGTTTAATGACTCAAGTCGCAGGCATAGTTCTAGGAATAACCTAGGATTAGAGATTTTAGAAACTGATATTCAAGCAAATGTAACTTTTTAAAAAGTGGATCTGACCTTTTGTGAGGCTTTAGCGGTACCTTCTCCATGAGGAAATAAACTCTTTGATGGGGGGGAGTGGCATTAGCCACTGTGACTCTGGAGCATATGCCTGGGTGTGTCAGCCCCAAGATGGGGATAATTCCATTGTGTGACCTGTGACACTCTGCGCCTGATGCCTGCACCATCCTTCCCATGGCAAAGGGGGCAACAGATGGTTCCACAGACATAGCAGATGCTGCTTTTGAATCCAGGTACAAAGCAGGACATTGGAGATTTTCTCTCTCTCCTTGCCTTGTGGGTTAAGAGCAGAGTGCATGAATGGATAGGGTTGTCTTGGACAGAAGGGAGAATGAGAGAGGCCTCCTGGGTGTGGAGTTTAAAAGGACACCTGGTGTGGGTACTTGAAATATCGGGGTGGGGGTGGGGGACTACTTTGTAAAGTATATGATTGTCTAACCACTGTGTTGTACACCTGAAAGTAATACAAAATAATATTGAATGTAAATCATAATAGAAAAACATTTTTCTTTGGGGGGGAAAAAAAGACACCTGGCAAATAAGGAAATGAGTGTGCATTAGGGCAGTCGTAGGGGAAATTCATACGTTGATGAGTGGATATCTAAGATACATGTGATAGCAAGGAACTTTGGACAGGAATCTGAAGACAGATTCCTGTCTTCAGACAGGAATCTCAAGCTTAGCTGTTCTTTGAGCGAGTAAGACAAAATAAATCTGGGGGTAAATGGAACCTCAAAAATCCTCTTCTATGAATTTTTTGGCCACAATCCACCCAATTGGCTGGACAGTGCAGAATCTGCAAGCCCACTCTTCTGAATCCGGTTCCATTATAGTTCCTCTTATACCCCATGGTCTCCACCATCCCATCTGTTTGCCTTGTGAGGAAGAAATGATAGTAATATAAAGTTTTTGTTAATTTCCTAGGAGAGTTTAACCAGCATGGTATCTGTGCACGGCTCTGTTTATCGAAAGCAATTATCTCAATGAGCTTTTGATTATCAGAAAAGTTGTGCACATGTGGCCTGATCACTTATGAACATATGTACTCCCACATTTACATTACATTTACATTACTCAGCCACGGGGCCTGTGATTATGGATTCTAGTTCTGTGTGCGAAGTGGTCCTGCCGCAGTAGTTAGAATCCTCAAATCTGGGAGGCTCTCGCAATATAGGAGAGTTTTTCACTTTGTCTTTGTTGGGAGAGGTCAGAGCTCTACCCTGTGCGGAGGTAGGTTCTTATCATTTTGACACCTAGCCAATGGGTGCACCTCAAAGCCAAGTACATGGTAGTATATTTAGAAACGATTATCAAGTGATGACTCTTGGAAGGGGACTGGTCCCTTTGGATGCTGCAATAAAAGAGGCAGTAGCCTTTTCATAATCACCTTTTGTCTAGTCATTCTTGTTACCTTTATTTTTTAAATGATAGGAGAGAAGACATGAGTTGATTAAAAAGCAAAAACTATTGGCTGAAAATATTTATTGGCACTTGATTAATGTGACTCTTATCTCTTGAAAGTGAAAAATAATGAAAAGGGTAGCCCAAGGTTTTCAAATCCCTTTAAAATAAATA